TATTTTCTCCTATTGTTAATGATTGTCATTATAACTAATATTAATGGTAAGAATATTATTATAAATATTTCAATTTTTATTATACTTTCATAAACTAATTGTCTTAACAAAAATAGGGGCAAAACTAAAAGCAAACACAAATAATGGTAATAATGTTGTCTCACGAGGAACGGGAGACAAACCTCTTGATAGGCAACAAATCTTGAAGTCTGTAAAAACATTGTCTATATTCTTGCGACTAATCCAACGCCAACTCAAAAACCCTAACTTCAACCCAAACCAACTCAATCCGTGTAAGGATCATGATACTTTTATTTGATAATTATCCCTGCTAATTGTTTCTGTTTTCACAGTATTCGCTGCATTATCGTTGAATGCGAGTGGAACGCCTACTAATTTAAATACACTCAGGAAATCAATAAACGATATGATTATAATTGTGGACAAAATAGAGACAATTATGTCATCCACCCCTCAAAGCAATCCATTGGAAACTGACACTCAATTATATGAATTAATCACTCAATTGCAGCAGCACGTGATGTCCACGTTTGGTGTTAATGTACCAACACCTGGATTATCTGTACGACCCATACCAGGTTTGGGTGGTCTGGGAGGTTTAGGTGGTTTGGGAGGCTTTTCATCTATTATTCAATTCGTGTTACAATTCTTACTGCAAATCCTATCGAGTGGATCAATGTTTGGACAAACATCCGGGTCATTGGATTTGATTCCACTGCATGTCAACACATTTGTGAACAATAGTACCAAAAGTGTATCAATAGATACCATTTGCTCACAAATTCAAGCGCTAAACACTAATTGTGAGTAATTTCTACAATTATTTGTGAATTTCTAGAATTAATTTTATTTAACAAACATAGTATCAAAACTCAACACAACTGTCCCCTCACCACAACTGTACGGCTTTTTGGCTGATAATTTGGGATCAGTTGGAGTGGCCAACAATTATTTGTCAATTTCTAACATTAATTTTATTTAACAAACATAGTATCAAAACTCAACACAACTGTCCCCTCACCACAACTGTACGGCTTTTTGGCTGATAATTTGGGATCAGTTGGAGTGGCCATGGAAGACGTTTTTGAACGCCTATTGACATCATTCTTGAGTTCAATCATGGATTTGTATTTCAATTATATGCCACAGACTGACGATGATGTGGATGAGGTGTTTCCCAAAGTGAAACCATTTATGATACCATTCACTAGTAAACGGCGCAAAGACTTGTCGCAAACCACTTTCGGTTTTGTGAATAATAAAAATAAATTGGTCTTGATGAACATTATGCGCAAAAATATTACAACCAATTTTATGGACAGGAATTCAAACAATCATTTAAACACTATTTCCAACAGAAAGTCATACGTAAACCGTATGTCTCTGTATTCAATGCAATCAGTCATGTCATCGATGGTCAACGATATGAAAGCAGATTTGCAGCCTAAGTATAGATTTGCTTTAATGGTATGTTTGAGTATTTTGTTTATATGCATGTGTTTAATTAATATGATTAATGGTATGATTAATATTACTGTTATTTAGTGTCCCATAAGAAGTATTGAATGCATTTTGAGACACGATTCCTATGAACCAGAGGTTGAAAAATGTCTCAAAACTCTCTCAAATGTGAGTTGAATTTAAAATTGTTAAAAATTATATATTTTTTAATAACTTTATTAATTAATTCAATTTATACA